CTGTTGGTTGACAGGCGGTATCAGCAGGTCTGTGGGGGCGCGACACGCTGAAGTTGGACGGTGCTCAGAACTGGCTGCTACGCCGGTGGCTGTGGGACGGCTGTACGCCTGTCTAAAGTGAGGCTTCGTTTGCTGCTGCAACTGTTACAACTAGTCTCGATTGTCACTGAGTCAGGCTGCCACAACACACAGGCTGTGTGTTGTTGTGCCTTTGAGGAGCTACTGCGGCGCCACCTTGTTGTGCACCGTTAATGTTCGTAGGCCAAAGCTACGGCGAAGTCAGATCACGAGCACCGCTGTTTGTATCAGGTCACTGACTTTCGAGGATTAATGTTGTTGTGGCTACCAGCAGGAGGTCGCTTGTGTTTCATGGATGGGCACGGTCTGCCCGGAAGGTTACTGTGTTGTTGTGACAGTAGGGCAACCGTTGCAGCTAGAGGTGTACTGCCTCACACTGGGTTTGGATGTGCACTCTGTGACTCTGTGACGGTTGCTGTTTTCTCAGCTATTGGTTAAGTTCAAACTGCCAACTTGCAGTGAGCAATGCGGGCTACCGCAAAGGAGGAGACTGAGAGGCGCTGGGTTGCGGAGCGAACTTTCGAACGTTGCTGCATCTCTCGGTGGCCTGGTATGGCGGAGTTGCTGCGTTCATCATGCTTGCTGAGCACCCTTGTTGAGCGCACGTTCTTGTGTTTTTTGCAGTTGACTCGACATAGCTGGTTGCCACCATTGTTGTTGCTGACGGTAGCAGCATTGCAGCTGATGTGGTTTGCTGGGTATTGAGGTTTTTCAAATAGGACACAAGCAGGTGTTCTAACTAGGTGCAGTCTTCAGGGACTGAGGAACAGCGGTTCTGTCAGAGGGAGCGGCAGTACGACTTAGCGGAGCGTTTGGGCGTGTGTGGAGGTTGTGCTACGACTTTGGAGGTGTTCAGGGAGTGGTTATTCTGCATTTTGACGGAAGTCTTGACTGGTTCTACTGCGTCAAGTAACCATCATTGCGGGGCCCTCGAGAGATTCAAGATTCCAAGGCCCTCTCACTGGGAGTTGAGTTGTCCCACTCTTGAATCTCGAAAGTAACCTATCTCCTCCCATCCTTCTTACTCTAAGTCTGGTCTGAGGTTACGAGAGGAAGGCGGCAGGCGGGATTGCAACCCGTAGGTCCGCATCAAGACCTTGTGGGAGGTCCACCCACCGATTGCGGGAGCTCTGTCGGAGCCAGATGGGGTTCTGGAGGCAGGGAACTTCATGTATAATCTCGTTTGACGTGTGTGACCCCTTCCCCTAGCTATATTGCTCCTTTGGGTATCTAAACATAACTATGAAAGGTTATTACTTTTTCTATTTTTATTACGTCTGTCGGGATATGCATTGTAGAAAGTTAAATAAACAAATAAATATGAGAGTTCAGCTAATCCCTTTGAGAGAATTCAGACAAAAGGAATGGGGGGGAGGCGGGTGAAAGATGTTTTGCATGCTTTGACCGGGTCAACCCAAGGCTGAGCCTCTCCGGGTGGATGTGGGCTCGGTGCTGTGTTTTATTGATGTCTGTTGGGTTGTGTGAATGACTTTCATGGCTGGTCCTACCCGGGTAGGATGAATCAGTCGCTGTTTCTTTTGGGGTTTCTGAACAGGAGGACGGGCACCCTAGGGTAGGGAAGGCTCGGATTCTTTTTGTTTATTTGAATGAGTTGAGGTGTATGTTTCTTCTGAGGGAACAAAGGGCATAAGACTAAGCGTACCCTAGGGTAGGGCGGCTTAGCCATGAGCCATGAATTAACTGGTCAAACCAGAGTATAAAATTTAATACATATATTACTTGAACTTATACTTCTGACAGACCAGGTTCCCTGGGTAGGGAAAGTCGGTCAATAAGTTAGGTAACACTAGAGAAGAAAAGAAATACATGAAGAATAAGAAGGAGGTAACTGGGCAGACTGAGCGTACCCTATGGTAGGACGGTTCAGTTGTATGCTCATCATAACATTAAGGAGCAGAGAGTTAATATAAATTTGTTTCTATTTTCCCTTCTAAACAAAAGGGCGGATCAAAAGTTTCATTTGTTGAAAATGTCCGATCGACTGCCTAATGAGAGAAAGAAAAACTTAAAGTATGTGCATGTGTTCGTATCATATTAACTGTTGTATGGCTAACTAGGCGTACCCTAAGGGTTAGGGCGACCTAGTGATATGCTTGTATCGTTGATGTAACGTAAGCTGGACGTACCCTAAGGGTTAGGGCGGTCCAATGTTTCGTCGTTTGCACTTATGTTCAGGCAAGTTAGGCCTACCCCTCGATAGGGATGGTCTAATGTTACGCCATATGTAACTTTGTATAGGGCAGGCTGGGTACACCCTAGGGTTAGGGCAGCCTAGTCCTATGCTTCATGCCGTTAGGTTGGCAGAAACCAGACGTACCCTAGGGTAGGGCGGTCTCGCCATATGCATTATGTATACAATTTATGTTATATTGGACATACCCTAAGGGTTAGGGCAGTCCAGTTGTGCGTACCTTATCTGTTATTTAGGCGGATCGGATACACCCTTCTGTTTAGGTGGGTCTGATCGTATGCCATAGGCAAGGGGTTCTACTCAGGGAAAAGAACTGAGTGATCTAACGAACTACTTGGGTTAAACTAATGTGGGATTGTGAGAGATGTTTGTTTATGCATGTTTGTGGACTCTCACTCCGGGGCGTCTTTTTCGATAGGTTAGTTGCTTAGACGCTCGCCAAGTGTTGGAGCCATAGGTAGATGAGATGGATGATAGGAGGGAGAACTGTGGATAACGATATGACTGACCCTGCTAGGAGTTAGGATCAGTGCTAGCTCGCAATCTAATCTATAGGTCGTGCGGGCCGTCATTGATTCTGAATTATCAAACAGGTGACAGAAGTTAGTCCCAAGTACAACTTGCTTTGTCTTTTCGTCTTTCAGCTTTGTATAAATCTTGACAACCTCCTATTCCTACGGGAAGCGCTGCCGAAATTTCTACAAATATGAAAGAGTTAGTTATTTTTAAACTCGTAGAAATTTTTGAAAGATACTTTTTCTCCGGGAAGCGCTGCCGAAATTTCCTAGAATTTGAGGAGTTATAATATTTTTCAGCTATGAGCTACTTAGCAGATCTATTCTAAATAATGGAGATACTCAGTAACCTGGTACTAGTAAGGAGAACAGACAGTGAGAGTAGTAGAGGTGTTAGGTTACGACTTGGGGCGTATTCTCCTTTGATATGAACATAGTAAAGGTTTTTTTTGCCTGTATTGTGATGCAGGTTCCCGTATTTCTCTAAAAGGCTTGATCTGATCAATCTGACCCTTTAGAAAGAACCACTCTTCTGTTATCACTGATGGCTCAACTTTCTTGTTCCTTCTGCTTCTCAACCTAAGGTCTTGGCCCTTGCTGGGTTTTATATTTTCTTGGGTTTTCACCCAGATTCCTTACAAATGATCATTTCTTAAAGACTGACTACATTTGTTGAGGATTGGTGGGGAAATGGTTAGGCTTGTGTGCATAAGGCAGGGTGTGAGCTGCAGAAGGCTGAAAAGTTGACCCCTTTAGTGTGTGTGATGTTGTTTGAATGTTGTACGTATGATTGCAGGTATGTATGGCAGAATCTCGATTAAGTATTTGGTGAATGATTATGTTTTTGATTCAAATGGGCAAACCACACAACTTTCGTGAGAGTGAACTACCCCACAACCTTTTTTTTTTTGTTCCAGTGAGATTGTTTTTTTTCCTATCCTGATAATGTGGTAGTCAGAGCAAGCGTACGCTCGGGTAACCCACATAGGGCTATGCGACCACACGCCTACGTTTTCTTTACTCAATGATTCGACTTGGTCGGACGTTAGTCACAAGCCCGGAATTCGAGACCCTTGTCCGGGTCGCCTTAGGTCCTAGGATCAGCGCAGAAGGGGTTACCTCTCGCGCGGAGGCTGAGTTGCCTGCTCACACGACGCTATTCCGGGGAGTCATAAGCGCTGCGAGGCTGAGGGGCTGTCCCCCAGCAACTCGGTCCGGCGGGGTGTTCATGTTTCTCATGCCAACGACAAAGGTTCATATTTTTTTCCATTGTTTTAATTTATTTTGGTGGAACGATAGAGTTCTAGTCAGAAGGGTTAGCATGTCGCTGGTGATGCGCCAGACAACTCACCACCACTCCGAATCCCTTCCTGCCCTAGGGACCATCTTACCTCGCACCCTTTGGGGCACCCCAGGGTGCAAAAGACGGTGAGGCCCTCAGGTCGGTTATGCGCTCACTAAAGGTTTACCTCCCTTAGCGCGTACTTCAGCCGACGCCTGAGCGTCGAGAGCGACCCCATGGCTCAGATGAGGCCACTCGGGTATGAGCACCACATAATGCACCGTCATCACGACTACTTACGTAGGACTGCATTGCTAGTCGGTATGCGTAGGTCTTGCGTCTGCGCGGTTTTATACTAAACCACGCGCGCAACACTTACCGATTTCCGCACCTGAAAGTTTTGGGCCAAGCGGAAAGGACAAAATCGCGTTATGGCCAGTAGACCCGAGTTTCGACAGCGCAGAACGACGCGTGGGCGAGGTATCAGTCCTAATCGGCCTATGGGGATCCGCGTACGGGCCTCCAACGTCTCGACAAGTAAACCACCCAAGCCCGCAGCCAAGCCAACCTCAACAGTCGGCACTACAAGGATCGCAAGGAAACCAAGGCGGCGGACGTGGACAAAATCAAGGATGGGGCCGATGGCGAGGAAATGGCGGCCGCAGAGGAAATGGAAGGGGAAATGGTAGTGGTAACTCCACAAGAGAAGGGAATGGGGACTGGAATACATCAGGAAGTCAGGGTAGTCAAGAAGGTGGACGAGACTTTGGTAGAGGAAGGATAGATTGGAGGAATGTCATTTGCTCGCATTGTGGGCAGAAAGGTCACACCATCAAATTCTGCCATGTCCACAAGAACAACGAAGATTAAGGATTAATCAGTACCAATTATGATGACGACATGTATAGTAAATTTGGGTACTACATTGACCCAAAGACCCCTGGTGGAACAAGGAAGGAAGCCCTACCACGAGCTGAGGCCGGTATGCCACCCGCTCCTCCGGCTATGTTCCGGATTTGGCAAGAGAAGGAGGTCCGCTGTGACATAAGGGTGCAACAAGTAGGAGAGAGTGAGGAAGTGAAGCAAGGACGGAACGCCGGCACCATCAAAGAAGAGTCAATCATAGCGGAATCTGATGATGAGATAGAAGAGGATTGTTGGAATGAGCCACGAAAAGCGAAAATAGGGGAAGATTTTTGGAGGGAGGCCCGACAAACGATGGAAAGGATGGAGGATTTAGTGGCTAAAGTCGGGAGGTACCAGCAAAAACTAGTCGATATGTGTGACAAGGTTAAGGAGTGGAGAGGTAAGGAACCACTGGTGTATTTCTACGACCTAGGTCCAAGGTCGCAAGGAGGGTCTGGGAACCTACCAGGCGTTACGACTTCAGGGTCAACGCCTCGGTCTGGAATGACTTATAGGGCACCCTCCAGGTCGGGGCGAGTACCACAAGCTGTCAGGACAAGGGCCAAGAGGCCGGTGAGCCCCGACGAGCCGACAAAGGATATTCCTCAGCCTAATGGGGCGAAAGAGATTGTGAATGTCCCAGAGGGAGAAGATGAAGAGAACGACAGGTTAAGGAGAGAAGTGGACGAGAAGGCCGAGCAACGGGCCAAGAAGAGAGGCGCAAAAATTGATACGGAGAAGGCCTCAGAAGGGAAGAAGAAGAAGTACGCTGTCAGAGTGGAGGAAGGGTTTGATGTAGAGGAGACAATGGACAGGATCCTTGAGGGTCATAATCACCTTATGAACCTAAAGGACGTCCTGGCTTCAGCGCCAAGGCTAAGGGATGAGCTAAAAGCGCGATTATCTAGAAAGATGGTGGTCAGTGTACGATTAGGGACCATAATACCTAAAGAGGCGGAATGGGCTGAGACCGGTACGAAGATGGATTGGAAGTCTGTCGCATGTGGGTGCCTTGATGTAGTGATAAAGGGAAAGCCTTGCACGACCATGGTGGATAGTGCCGCAAAAATGAACCTCATAAAGGAGGAGCATGCTTTGCGTTTCGAGATGGAAATAGATCGCTCCGACAACGGGGTCTTAATGGGGACCAACAGTCAATCAGTATTCATAGGAACCGCATCAGCGGTGATTCTGAAAATTGAGAAAGTAAAAGTAAGGAGTTGTTTTTTCGTAATGCCTGTTCTTGATCACCCCATTCTACTGGGTAGATCGTTCCTGAGTCGAACAGAGACTGTCATACTTAACAAGCATGACAAGACTATGTTCCTTGTCTTGTGCGATCCAGTATGTGGCAATTATGAGGTTGTCACTTGCAAAAATACGGGGCCTAGGAGTATAAGGAACCGACCTAACCCTGATTCTTTCATTATTGAAGAATCAGAAGAGGAGAGGTTGAGACTGGAGGACAGTAAGTTTGAAGAGGAAAGAGGGTCAGATGCACTGACCCTTAGCCTAGGAAGTATATGTAATGCTATAAACATAGTGTCAACCTATGGGATGGCTGACCCAGAGGCTGTGGAAGCCTTGAGAGAAAAGGTGGTGGAACAGATGGGAGAAGAAGAGATGAAATTAGTATATCGAACGCCGGGAAGGATAGGTGGAGCAATTGGAGCCCAACCCCAAAGTGCAACTCGACCTTTTTTAGGGGTGGGCTCAAGCAGGGGTCACAAAGGCGGTACAAAAGGGTAGATTAGAAGTGTCGTCATGTTCCCGTACTCGTTGCTGAGGAGCAAGAAGTTTACTACGAACGGGAACAAGAGTTGATAAGACAGATGCGAGAAGACGCAGGAAATGGGCCGTGTCGTATCAATCATGAGACAGAGAAAGTGTTGATTGTAGGGGAGTCTGGCTTCCTTACAGCACAGGAGGAGAAGCTTATGGTGGAAACCATAAGAGGAAAGCATGCTGCATATGCCTTCAGTGATGATGAGAGAGGTCATCTGGACGTGGACATAATCCCGATGATTAGGATACACACAGTGTCTTACGAGCCGTCGAACTTGCGAGGTGCGCGATATCCTAATCCAACTGATGAAGAGAAGGTAGTTAAGTACCTCGATGAGAAAATCCGCACACATGTGGCAGACTTCTCAAGTGGACCGTATGCATCCCCTTGGTTTTGCTTCGTCAAACCCAATGGGACTTTGAGGTGGGTACAGGATTTGCAGCGCTTAAACGCTATAACAGTGAGAGATGCAGATGGTCTCCCCAACGCTGATGCGCTTTCAGAGGACTGCGAGGGGAGAACCATAATATCTCTCATAGACTAATATTCGGGTTACGATCAATTTTTTGTGTACCCATCTGACAGACCGATGACAGCCATGCATACCCCTCGACGGTTGATTCACATGAACGTCGCACCGCAAGGGTGGACGAATGCGGTCGCAATGGTCCAGAGACACATGGTGAGGGCAATGCAACCAATAAGCCCTCACATCACGCAACCATATATTGATGATCTGGCCGTGAAAGGGTCTAAGGAGAAGATGATCGAGAGGTGATGCCACGAGTTAAACGTTTTGTCTGGGATCATGTGCAAGACCTGTACAAGGTCATGGACCTCTTAAAAAAACACAACCTCATTGTCAGTGGACCGAAGTCGAGGCATTGCATGCGCGGGGCCACTATCTTAGGGTTTGTGTGTGACGAGAGGGGTCGTCGGCCAGATACTAAGAAGACCAATAAGATTCTCGAATGACCAACGTCATTCGAGACTATCACAGAGGTAAGGAGCTTTCTAGGAACTTGTGGATTTTGGAGGGTCTTCATAAAGGGGTTTGCGGCAAAAACTGAGCAGTTGTGAAAGCTTGTACGTCAGGGCCAAGATTGGGAGTGGGGAGATAACCAGGAGTCAGTAATAGAAGGTCTGAAGAAAGAATTTGAGGAAGGAGGTCTAGTATTAGGGGTACCAGATCATGCGGAAGTGATAACCAGACCATTCATTGTAGAAACGGACGCAGTACCGACTGCTTTGGGAGGTGTGTTGATCCAACAAGACCTCAATGGGGAAGAACGACCACTAAGGTTTGAGAGTCGAACGCTTAATACAACTGAGAGAAACTACTCACAGTTTAAACGCGAGACCTTGACAGTTCTTCATTGCTTAAGGATTTTTAGAAACTACCTCTTTGGCAGCAAGTTTGTATTGAGGGTGATTCCAACTGCTCTAGCTGGTTCTCTCAAGAACTTCGCTCCGTCAGATCCGACTATCGCCAGGTGGCTAACGTACATCTGGATGTTCGACTTCGTATTTGAGCGAATTCCGGGGAATAAGAATAGAGCAGACGGGTTGAGTCCGGTCGACTGGGACAACAATAATCAAGGAGTGATCGAGGATACTGCACCAGTTGACGGGTTTCTAGAAAGTGAGGAGGATGTGAGACTTCATATCAACTCTTGGTCACTAGCCATGGGTAACTATATTACTCCTAGGCGACCTGTGTGGCTTGCGCCTCCACAACATGTACGACGACCAGACCTAGTCCTTAAGCCCTATATCAAAGAGGACTCTTGGGAAACGTCAGGTGTAGATTGGATAATGGGTCTGGCTTTAGCGGACAAGTACCAATTACATAAGGACCTGCTCACGATTGAGAATGGGGCGTTGCAGGTAGAAAGAACGAGAGAGCGATAGGTGGGATATATTTGTTGGCTAATGTGCTGCTTCAGGAGGAGGTAGCCAGAAACACGGTACAAAGTCAGGAAGAGGATGATAATGTGATCCATGAAAGAGAAGATGATGATTTTTAGGAAGGGGAGATTAAGGAAGTGTTTCAGGCAGAGGAATATGAGGGATTATACCTTGAACTCGGAATGTTTCTTTCATGTGAAATGATGGAAAGGGACGCTTGCGAGAGAGTTATGAAAACGAGGCCAAACTTTCTAGTAAGGGATGACCATCTATTCATGAGAAACAAAGGAAAGACTGCCAGGAGAGTAGTTTGCGGCGTCACTTGCCAGATTGACGTTATGGCGGCGCTACACGATGGTATGGCGGGTGGTCACAAAAGTACAAACGTGACATATCTCAAGATACACGAACTGTACTATTGGGATGACAGGGGTAAGATGATTGATAACTATTGTAAATCTTGTGTACCATGCCAGGAGCGATCCTCTCTTAGGCCAAGGGAGCCGCTTCACCCGAGGTATGTTCGTGAGGTTGGAGCAGTCGTGCACCTAGATCTGTTGGCGATGCGACTGGGAATAGGGAGCTGTAACTTTATCTTTGATGCGCGGGACAACCTCTTTGGGTTTGTAGATGGCAGGACCATTAACAGAAAGACTAGTGAGACGTTGGCCAAATGCATCGAAGAGTATTATCTCCGCTACCACTTTGTCTCGAGATTTGTGATGGATAGAGGGTCTGAATTCACATGTGCAATAGTGAAGACACTGTTAAAGAGGTATGGGGTAATTGCCGAGTACACTACTGCAGCGCACCCCCAAGCTAATGCACATGTGGAAAGATGGCATAGCACCATCAAAAATCTTCTCGCCAAATGGACGGATGGCAGATCCAACCAGTGGCCGAACTTTCTAAGGGTCGCTTTCTTCGTAGATAATATCACCGTCAGGAGGAGCACCGGCTACGCATCGGCCATATGGCAGGCATGCGACGTTCCCTATCGAAAGCTTCCTAAAGACTTAGTGGCGGCAAGACCTCGAGACTAGTCTGAGATTTGAGGAGCTGCTTGATTCAAGGGCACGTCGGATTGGCGCTGTAGAAGACAGAATCGAGGAAGCGGCGAGTAGGGTGGCTGACAATCGTACCAAGGACAAGTTCAGGTGGGATAAGATGGTGAGAGTAAGGAAATAACCTTTTAAGTTGGGAGACATTGTGCTGCTATACGACTCATCCATTTAAAGGTGGTTGGGACCATACAAGGTCACCAAGAGTGGTGAGCATTCAGCCTACCAGATTGAGAAGCTCAATGGGACGGCATGGAAAGACTAGGTGTCAGGCTCAAGGTTAAAAAAGTTTGTCGCTCGGGACGAGGTGAGCGTGAATCTCACCAGTTAGAGCCACCCTTTGAGTGCTTTATATAGGAATATTAGTGTAAGGAGAATGTATAGGATATTGTTCTCAGTAGAATAATGTGATAGGTTATGGTTTTTTTTGGATAGACTTGTATGTATGTATGCATATATATGTAGGCAAATAGCTGGGGATAGTTATGGTAGGGTTATGTCTGTCTCCTGTGGTATCTTGTCAAAAACTGCTTACCCTCTGTGTGCTCCTGTTTGTCTCTTCCTTGTTGTGAAAGCTTGACACCACTTGGGGCAGCCATGCCAAGAGGGAGGGGAGGGGCAGAGCCAATGAAAACCCCCTTTGGGGCGACCAGACAGAGGGCGCAGATGAGGATCAGGAGAGAGGACAGGCCTCCAGTTTTCCAGGGAGGAAACATTGAGCTATTCCTGATTGAGTTCGAGAGGCATGCACGGGAGTTTGGATGGGATGGCACCAGGATGTTGAGAGAGGTACGCGGCACAGGCGAGTGGGGAGAGCCCATTGCCAACCTTGTCAGAGAGTCTCTGAGCTGGCAAGATTTTGAGAGGAAGGTGGAGGGTTTGCACCCATCACCAGTGGACAGAGATGGCCAGCCCATTCGATTTGACTCCACTAATCTGGGGGAATTTCTATAGGCCTATATTCAGTATGCAGATGATCTCAATATTCCAGGAGAGCAGAGGATGGGGAGCTTCCTCCTGTATGTGAGACGACACATCAGGTCCTTCGTCAGATCTATTGTGGCACCTGCTATGAGTTGGGGTCACTGCAAGAAGTTGTTGTGGAACTACTATACTCCACCACGTCAGGCATGTAAAAGAGGGAGTCCACCACCTGCTCAGAGGGATGTGGATTGTCCTATGCCGGACAAGGAGCCAGACCTACCCCATGAGCCGCAAATGCGAGAGCACGAGGAGGAGCAGTCTGCCGAGGAGAAGGAACTGGACATGAAAGAGAGAGCAGCAAAGGAGCAGGAGATCAAGGTCCAGCTCAGGATGAAGAACCTTGCAGAGCTGCATGAGAGGATGCAGCAAGGAAAAGAGCCTGAGGAGGTGGAAGACAAAGGTGGTAAGGGCGCTTGCACTCAGGGGGAGGATCTTCCCCTATTTTCAAAGGTTTGGGTCAACTTTGACAAGCTGATGGAGGCTGCTGGGAGATCTAGAGAGCATCATCAGGAGATGGGGGTTAAGTTAGTCTCTACAGACTTACTTAATCTGAGGGGCGTAATGAAGGAAGGTTTTGCAGCGGCCAAAGCTTCGGATAAAAAAGTTGCGGACAGATTGACGAAGGTGGTTCAAAAGGTATATGGGCAGAGAGTGGACTGGGAAAGAGAAGTTGAAAACCTGAAGGAGTTGAAAAGACAAGGTAAAGAGATGGAGGCAGTGAAGGCAGACATGGTGAAGATCTGAGCAGAGAACGAAGCTGTCAGGCAAGTCAACCAGACCCTCAATAAGGTCAATGACGTCCTGAGGGTCTACTTGTAGGCTCAACAGGTTTCCTTTCAAGCAAAGGAAACTGAATGGGAAAAGAGGATACGGGACCTTGAGGCCATGTGTACACAACAGGCCCCTACTGCAATGGTGGACTGGACAGAGGTCCAGGGGTTTGAGCTCAGGGGACGGTCTACAGAAGAAGTATTCAAAAGTCAAAAGAAAGAGGATAAGGCGGACCAGCAAGAAGGTGAAGAAATTCCTCTGATAGACAAAAAAATGTTGGAGGCGCAAGGGACACTAACTGAGAGGGACTCAAAGGTTGGAGAGTTTGAGTGGAGGATGCCGGCCGGTCTGACACTTGGTCAGTGATGCCAGAAGAGAGACCACCAGTTGAGGCTATGAGAATTGAAGTGGTTCCACCCACGACTCAGGGAGAGGCCGTGGGACAACAGGAGGTTCAGGAGAGTGTGGGTCATACCATGGTGGAAACGGAGGTGAGAGAGCACCTGGAGAGGTGTGAGGAGTCCTCCATACCTCAGGATATGCCTCTTGTTGCAGACCTGCGGGGTGCATTGGGGTCCTGGGCCACTGGCTCTGGACCAAGGAGCGAGTTGGTGAGCAGGTGGCGCAGACAGATGACAGAGCAACATGTCCCACTTCCCCGGAGGTCCCGCAGTAGTGTCAGCAGGAGGTCACGAGTAAGGTTACAACAGCCGCCTCGTCTGTACCCTCACAAGAAGGAGACAAGATGGACTAGAAGCAGATTGGAAGGTGCTTATACTGTAAGGAAGGCAGACACTTACATGAAGAGTGTTCCAAGAGCCTCGAGGATGAGGCAAGGGGGTTGTTTAATTGGGACTCAGCTGGGGTACGCAGGGATAGGAATGGGAGCCTGATCTTGAAGACTCGTGGTGGGATTCAGGCGCAGTTGTATAGGCAGCTGTAGGAGAGCATGAGTGACCAGGAGTAGGATTATTCAATAAGGTCCGGAAAGGTCTAAGTCTAGTATACACAGGACGTCTGTAACTCTCTAACTAACGGATGTTTTTATATACAAGGATACATGGAGGATTGGATCAAACCCGTGAACATCAGTGAGTTGAGCCAGTGGTGAGATAATTACTTTCGCATTATAAACTTTTTTTTTTTTTTTTTTTTTTTTACGTAAGACAACAATGTGCATAATTCTGACTATTTTTCTCTTATTCTCTTTCGTTAGTGTGGTGTGGATTGTTCTTATAATACCTTTGTATAAGTTACGGTTCCTTCATCGTCTAGAGTAGAGTGACACTCATGAGTATGGAGTGGCTTTCGATTTCAGATACTTTGACACTTGGATATTTTGATTTTTTGTTGTTACTATAAATTTGCGTGGATACTTCGACTCTTTGTACAATACTCTGACTTTTCGATAAGGACAGGAGCCTTTGCCTATTGCAAGGCTCCACATCTTGTGTACATATGTGAGTTTCGAACCTTGTTTTTTTTAAGTGTATGGTGTGTCACACTCACTCTCAGTTTTGTGGACTTGCCCATATGAGTGATGGTGTGATAAAGTGAATATTGTGAAATGAACCGATCTGCACATTCTTCCTTTGTACTTATGCATCCCTATCCCATGGACAAGGGAAAACTAAAGTAAAAAGGGAGAGAGTGTCCCTCAGGGTTTTGAGAAATAAATGATATGATATGTCTTGCAAAAATATATGGGATAATAAGTGGAAAGGTCACAATTAAAGTTGTGTCTTCTGTATGACTTAGAAAAGAGAGAGGAAAACCCAATGACCGACTGGACTTTCTTAAAAAGATGAAAATTTGTGAGAGCACTCAAAAGAGATGCTATAGTTATGATAAATTTTTGTTTGTATGTAAGTCTGACGAGGAAATGTCAAAAAGTTTGTGAGAATTATGGATGAAAACTTTTGGCAATTATGATGGAACGCTGGAAAACTTCAGAGAGATGTCCCAAAAAGACGAGTGACCTTACCTACTCTGATCAAAGTAAGGGAGACACGACCTTGTCGATTGTTTTTGAGGATTTTTTTGAAATGGTTGAGAAAGGCACTACTCCTCCACGTAGTCCCGTGGGCAGTTGGTATGTGGTCCTTTGGTTGCTCTGAAGATTTTTTGGAAGAAAGTGTCAGACCACAAGGAAGTCAGTCTAAGGGACATATTTTATAAGGCCAGTGGAACGCCGTGACGGGAGCAGATTGGTAAGAAAACCTCGAACGGAGTCGAGCCGGTGAGTCGGAATGGTTACTTCCTCGTCAGCAGATGTGGTTATGTTTATAGTTTTGATTATTCGACTCGACAGGGGCGTCGCTTAACAAGGGTTCGGAAAAACTGTCGGCCCGAATACCCTTACAAGGGTATTTGGGTGCCTTTTTGCACCTTACAGGAAGTACGTCGTATGGCAGTATCTAGGGGTGCGCCCCATTTAGTGCGGCCAGAACCAATCCTCAGGGATTGGGAGTAACGTATATTTTGAGTTGATAAGAGAGTGTGTGAGCAGGCATTTTGTGGGCCCGCACTAGTAAGAAAAGATTGATCAGAGTAAACAGTGGGTCGCTCGGTTAGTGCAAATTAGGACTAGGCTAGAATCTTGAATAGACGTTACGTAAGCCGCAACCTCGAACACGCTGACGAAGTCGCCACCAACGCACGGCTTAATCTTTGAGGCTATAGCTAGAGGAAGTTTTGTTTGATTTACGGGGGTGGCGTTCGGGGTAGCACCGCGCGAGGTTACGCAGGCACCAGGATGGTCGTGCGCCATCAATAGTAGCAACCGCCACCAAAAACCAAGTAAGGATGACGCGAATTAAAATAAAGGTCAGGGTTTTTTGGCGTGGAAATGGTGAAAGGGCGGCCTTCCCGAGAAAGAAGCAGTGTGGGGAAAGCCCCAACCTATTGGCCGCAGTATTGCGGGACTGCATGCACGGCGGGCTGAGTGAAAGCCTGCATCTGAGCCAACAGAAGCACGCCTGTAGAACTGTGGGTTTGAGTGGGAAATTAAGCAGCAGCCTTAACGCTGCTGCAACAGGCCCAGGATGGCCACATTTACCATTTATATACTGGTTGGCACGCACCCAGTCCAGGCTTGGGGTTAGCCCTATTGGTTACATCACTGGACTTTCAACAGGCGGATCCCGGGATCGAGGCCAGCAGCCACCATTGCGGGAGCAGAGGAGTTCACGTTGGAGCAAGCCGAGGGGTTGAGGGTCCCGCGGGACTGTCCCCCTTGGTTTTGCTGGGGAGTCCGACCGCGGCCCCAAGAGGGAGGACAGAGGACCAAGTACCAACGGCCCCTCCCCTATTCCGGTTTCCAAAAAATAATTGCTAAGTTTTATTATTATTATTATTATTATTATTTGTTTTTTATTTTTTTCTATTTTTCTTGTTCCATTTCCGAACGGGGTCCGGCGGTGGCACCAGATTTGGGCTTAGGATTAACCCGAGAGGATTGCTCAGTGGATACACCACTGAACTGTTGAAATACAGACTTGTGTCCAAACCCAGATGATGCAGGTTGAGGCGGCAGACCCGACGATTCCGGGTCTCTGCCCAAGAGACCGTCCTTCAGGACATCCGTTAAAATTGGAACGATACAGAGAAGATTAGCATGGCCCCTGCGCAAGAATGGCACGCATATAAGGAACGAGGAGCTTTTTTTTACTTCGTATGCGCCACCGAGCAAGAATGTTGTGGACTGCCCGCACGTGCGATGGGGTTGACGATCAGGCGAGGAACAAAGGAGTGAGAAGGGAGGAGAAGGTGTACCTTGGTGTGGGGCTTGTGTGTGGCTTGTGCCTGTCTGCGTAAACTAGGCAGACAGCCCACCACGAATTCACTGGCGGTCGTCCACCAGCCGGTAGCGACTTCCTCGTGCTTAGCTGTTGAAGTTGGTATTAACCTGGCTTAGAGGCTGGCCAGGTACAGTTACATAAAAGAGGTCATGGAATGAAGACATGGCGGCAAGAAGAGTGAGCACCTCGCCCGTTTCTTGAGAGAATCAGGCGAGGGAAGAATCAAAGTTGAGTTTCTTAGAGCTTACGAACCCGGATCTGTGGTCAGATCGACATAAGAGTTAGTAAAAGAGGGATTAGAAGAAGAGAGAACTGCGTCGCGGGGGGGGTGGACGAGAAGGACGAAGGGAGAGTGGAAGTGAAAATTAAATAAGTCTCCCGTTTCTCAGTGCAAACGAGCAAGTGAGGGATCGAAATGGGGGTTTTTGAGCACTAGGAACCGTTGGTGGAGGCAGATTTGGAGATAGGGCAGTGAGTTTGGCAACATAGAGTGCAAGGGCTGCGGAAAGGAGAAGTGGGTTTTTGGAAAGGCAGTGGATGTTTCCACGTTCCAGCGGGAGATTCAATTCCAATTTGCTCATGTTTATTTAGCGTGAGGGCTGCCGAAAGGTTGGGGACTAACCGGTTGATTGGTGCGCTGCTCAAGGACAACAAAGGAGTGGAGACCAACCTCTTGATCGCTGCGATCGGAGGGATGAGAGAGAGAGAGAGAGAGAGAGAGAGAGAGAGAGAGAGAGAGAAGTTGAACTGACTTGCTCAGCAGTACCGGCTCGTGCTAGCAGATAGCCGCTGCCTTCGTGCTCATCTCCACCATCGTACACATACCCATCGTCGTGGTCATCTTCAGTGATGAACTCGGTGCCGCCCCTGGTTTATTTTGAAAGTTGCGTTGGGGCTATGCTCCTCACTCTAGAGGCCGCCGTGTCCAGGTGATGGTGTTCGATGGGCCCGCAGAAAGGAGGGGAGGAGCTGGAATAATAACAATAAAGAATGATGATGTATTCCCCTATGTTCTAACAGACGGAGTTCTTCTCTTGCAAAGTTGCTGAATAGCGGAGCAGGTCAGGTGCAAGTTAACGCTGGGTACGACAAAGGCAGGGAGAAAGATTGTGGAGAAGCGAAGGAGGAAACGGGTTGGACAGGCTAGAAAGATTCACTATATAAGCTTACGCAGGCGGTGGCCTGGTATAGTTAACTAATGAAATACAAATCTAAGTTTGTGTTTTGATCTACTACGAACTACGGTCCGAACGCTACCAGGC